ATATTGTAAAGTATCTATCATTTTTATAAAAGTGTCCATATTTTTTTCACTGTGGAAAACATTAATTTAAGGTTATCTTTTGAGTGAGTTTTAAGATATTAATTTAGAAATTATAGGCGTCTAATGATTTATTTTTCACGTTACGATATATATTATTATTAAATTAAAAATTCTAAATATTATTTTATAAAATATCAAAACAATTAAATAATTTTTTGTGCAAATGAAATTATTAAATTAATATTGTAGGTGGAAAACATGAAACACTATTAAAAAAATTGAAACATAAATTACATAACTTTAAAAGAAGTATCGATCCTTTTTATAAAAAGTATGGACACTTTCAATATAATAGGTAAAAATATGATGTAATAGGTAGCGCTTATATAATGTAATAGGTATCGTTTATATAATGTAATAGGTAGTGGTTATATTGTAAAGTATCTATCCATTTTATAAAAGTGTCTATACTTTTTTCACTGTGGAAAACATTAATTTAAGGTTATCTTTTGAGTGAGTTTTAAAATATTAATTTAGTAATTATAGGCGTCTAATGATTTATTTTTTACGTTACGATATATATTATTATTAAATTAAAAATTCTAAATATTATTTATAAAATATCAAAACAATCAAATAATTTTTTGCAAATGAAATTATTAAATTAATATTGTAGGTAGAAAACATGAAACACTATTAAAAAAATTGAAACATAAATTACATAACTTTAAAAGAAGTATCGATCCTTTTTATAAAAAGTATGGACACTTTCAATATAATAGGTAAAAATATGATGTAATAGGTAGCGCTTTATAATGTAATAGGTAGCGTTTATATAATGTAATAGGTAGTGCTTATATTGTAAAGTATTTATCCTTTTTATAAAAGTGTCCATACTTTTTTCACTGTGAAAAATTAATTTAAGGTTATCTTTGAGTGAGTTTTAAGATATTAATTTAGTAATTATAGGCGTCTAATGATTTATTTTTTACGTTACGATATATATTATTATTAAATTAAAAACAATAAACATATATATTACATATTTATTATTATCTTTTGTTAATATTGTTAAATTTAAATTCTAAATATTATTTTATAAAATATCAAAACAATCAAATAATTTTTTGTGCAAATGAAATTATTAAATTAATATTGTAGGTGGAAAACATGAAACACTATTAAAAAAAATTGAAACATAAATTACATAACTTTAAAAAAAGTATCGATCTTTTTTATAAAAAGTATGAACACTTTCAACATATTATAATGTAATAGGTATATTTGCAATGCTATCGGTATAAATATACCGGTTTACTTATAAAATAAGTAAATATAAACGCTACCTATTACATTATATAAGCGCTACTTAGTATGTTATTGTACTTTATAATATTTCCGGTTAAATAATATAAAATAACCGATCTAAATTTTAACCGGTCACTTATTTAACCGATCACGCCGTATATTAACTGTTTTTTAGGCGTCACCGCATAACTACCCATATCACCCCGCATAACTACCCATATCACCGTCTTGGAACACACGGGTCCAATCCAAATGATAAAAGCTTGAGATCGTGGCCTCATTTACATCGCATAAAGTTCGTTTATGGAAAAGTCACAACTACTGTGGCTTAGGCCAGAGACGGATTAAAGAGGACGGTTGCATAATTTTTTTTAATTTCATATATTTTACATATAATTTTATATTTTTTATTAATAATATTTCTGTATAATCTTATAAATGTATCAATTTTGAAGAAAAAAATTAGAAGTTTATTCTTAACATTCACATTTACTCGTGCGATTTCATCTTCGTTTCTCCATCTCCTTTGTCTTGTTTTCGTTGGCATGTTTGTTTTCTGATTGTCCGCCCACCTTCGCCCATTCTTTTATAAATGGATATTTTATTTAATAAAAGAATTATTGCATATAAGAATAAACGTAAAATACAAGTTTTAAAAATATTAAAAGGAGGTCAATTTCTTAGTTTTTCTTTACGTTTTGCGCCGTTTGCCTCCTCTATTCTGATTCACTAACATCCACATCAACTTCAGTATTAATCATCAATTACCTGTTTTCATTATTTTTTTAATTTTCTTATATTGCATATTTAATTTTTTTTCTTTTTTAATTGTCTAATAACTTTGTTGTCGTGGAACATTTTTCTCTATTTTAATGATACGTTTTTACCAATCTTTTGGCACGTTTCTATCTTTTTTATCAATTGTTTGGCTAATCTCATGATTTAATTTTTTTAGAGTTGAATTTAACGTCTTTCCGACTAATCAAGATGACACTTATTGTTATCATGCTGATTTGACATGCTTTAGACCATCATATTAGATTTAAATATACAATTTGCATTCGAAGATAGTTGTCTCACGGTGCTCGACTCTTATTCTTGATTTTCGATCGTCTTTTAGTAGCTTAATTCTCTGTTGTGGTTCGTTTGTCGTTGTTGTTAGATCTATTCACATCTTTATTTTGTTTGAGTTTTTTTATATGAGTTTTTAACATTTTCTTTGTATGATCCTTATATAATCTTAAGTGGTTGGTGTTAAACAAAATGTTATTCTGAGATAATAATAATAATAAACAAATATATTATATAATCAAACGAAACAAAATAATTATAAAGAATTAAAATAGAAGAATGAAATTAGTTACTCATGTGTAGACACAGAATCAGATAAGTAGAGTAAGATAAACGGAAGAAAGATTTTTGTTGAGGATTGTATAAACAGTTTCCTTAAGACAAATTCATCCTCTTCTCGGTGCTTGAGTAACGTTGGACGTCGATCTCTCAGGATACAACAACAAACGATCATAACAGTAAGCATAACCGTAATGATCAACTAAATTCAATCTTACCTTTCTCTATTACCGGAAAGAACGAATATAGAAGAAATTTTCTATGTGTTTTCCTATTTCAAAGTCATAAACTTGTACATGTAACTTGTGTCTAAGAAGTGTGCTTCAACTAGCCTATATAGGGAGAGAGAACATATTGAAGAGTTAAAATCTTTGGATGAAATGACTTAACATTTTGACTAAAAGACTTAATATTTTGATGAAAAAGGCTTAATCCTTTCATTTCATGAAATGTTATAATAATTTCATGAAAATAATTATTGAATAGGTAGGATTAAATGGATATAACTTTAAACAAAAAATTAAGTTTATTCACTAAGTAACATGACTTATTATTAATTAGTTATAAATAACATCAATTCATTCAATTGTTTTTCCATCAGCTAGTTTCGTGTGTAAATAATTATAGAGAAATTTCAAAAATTTTGTTTAATTTAAACTTATTGTTGTAAAATGTTATTGTAATTTTAGATTTTTCCTTTTGTTAATAAAATTGTCTACTTTTATATATATAAATAAATAAAGTAAATTTATAAAATTTTAAAGAAGGAAAATAAATTATTAATAAAAAATAAAATTTTAAAATATATAATAATTTAAAGTTCTCATACGACCGCCTAATGCTTGCTGTGTCCATCCCTAATTATACACACCAGATCTAAAGGAATTTATTTTAAGTACGTCGCTAAAAAGTAAAAAGAAATTCACATCAGATTGAATTTCTAATAAAAATATCTTAGTTTTGAAAAGAAAAAATCTGAAATATTGATTTTTCCAATAAAATAGCTTGCCTCACACGTTCTTTTCGTCCACCTTTCAGCACACACGTTTTAGTAGGTCCCATCCCTCCGCCGCTACGTGCCCAACACAAACAATGCACACGCTACGACCACATTTTCATTTAATGTTTTCTTTTTTAAGTCCAAGAGATATTGAAAACAATATAAACTACACCCTTAGTCATCCAACTACTAGCATATTTCTGTTTTTATTTTCAAACTAATGTATTTTTCAATTTAATCACTAACATTTTTGATTAATTTTATTTTCTGTTAAATCATTAATATAAATGATGATGTAATCTTATTAAACGACATAATTACATATTTAATTTTTAATATTAGTATACTTTTTATTTTAATCTTCATTAAAAATAATTTAAAAAATTAACCCTCAACATTTATAAATTCTATTAATTAAATCAACAAATACATACCACACGCATCTTGACCCTATGAGAAAGAATAAAAAGAAAAAAAAAGTGTAAATGGAACATGGATTTTTTTATATTTAGTTCAACATTGTAGAGTTTTCGAGAATGATTTGGAAGCACTGTCATCTATATCATTTTAAAACTAATGGATAGAATTTATAAATATATGATTAATTTTTTAAATTATTTATAGTTCAATAATGAAAATAGAATAACGCTAATAGTTAAGTGACTAATATGCAATTTACCATAATATATATATATATATATATATATATATATATATATATATATATAATTTGTTGGCTTATATATTAAAAAGGCCCTTAAACTCTTTACCTTATTTAAATAAGCTCTTGAAGTTTTTCATTTTACCTAAATAAACCTCTACTCTTTAACGCATAATCAAATAAGCCTTTGACCCAAATTGGCTGGCATTTGTTTACATATATTGAACATATCACAAATCTATTGGTAAAATAAGGGCTAACTTAGGTAAAAATTATATTTCAAGGGCTTATTTAAATAAGCTATAATAATTTTACTTTTTTGTTGAAATAAGCTATATTTCAAGGGCTTATTCAACTTTTGTATCAATAATCATAGTCCAAGCCATCGTGTCGTCATCTAGTTAATGACTCAATGATATATTTGGAGTCAAAATAAAATTTCAATGCTATAATTGAAATATTTAAAAGTTTAATGATAAAATTGATACAAACCTTGAAGTTTAATGGCATTTAATGTAGTTTAATCAAAAGAAAAATATAATTGGCTAAAAATATTTTTTAAATTTAGAAAAAAAAGGCGAGCAAAATGCTTGCGGAGGAGAGAAAACCAGATGCCTTAATTTGTGTTGGGCCCAACTTTGGGCCCTATATAACCCTGACATCTTCTTCTATATTTTCCATACTCATCATTTTTCTCCACTACATTCTCTCAAACCAAAAACATCTTTCCGAGAAGGGAAAAAAAAAAAGAGCTCAAGAGAATAAGCAAATGGCCGATCAGCTCACTGACGATCAGATCTCTGAATTCAAGGAGGCTTTTAGCCTATTTGACAAGGACGGAGATGGTCCTTCCTCTCATTCTCTCTTTTATTTTCTTCTTAAATTTTTGTTCTAATTATTACAAATGTTTTAATATTTTTCTTCATTCGATTCAGCTCGAATTCGTAGATCTAAGTGTCGTTTCCGATTCTGCTGCTTATTTTTTGAACTATTTATTAATTTTGCGATCGTTTTCTTTTGTAATTTTAGTTCTGTGACGGATATAGGGTTATGATTAAATAATTTTTCAATCGAACTTGATCATCTATTGTTATTTCATTTCTTGATGTTGATCATTGTGGCTCTTATTTTATGTTTTTTTTTCGTTTCATTTTCATTATCTTGACCTTTCTCTGTCTTCTGATTGAATTTATTGTACGACTTGTTATTGTTGGATATAATAGATGCAAATATAACCTGGATAGATTTTCTTTTATTGCGATGAGTTGTTGCGTAATTTATGTTCGAGATTTTCTGTTTGAGTTTTTTTTAATTTAATCTTGATTAAATATTTCATTTCCTTTGTTTAAGTTTTCAATCTGATTAGTGAAGCTTCCTTGGATTTTAAATGTGTTCCCCTTTTTTTGATCCTGCAATTTTCAACTTGTAATGATATATAGGATCATTTTTAGTCTACTTTCTTGTTGCTGGTAAAGCATTGACTCATTGTTTTATCCTTAAAATTAGCTTGTATGTTGTACCAATTATGCTTGATAGTTATGATTATAGGATCACAATGTGAATGGGCTGTGGCATGTCACTAGAATTCAAGACCTTCAATGGATGATTCAATCAGTTAATTTTGTGACATGTAACCCCAAACAATGAATTGTTTTGTTTGTAATAATTTCTTTGAAGGTTTTCAAATTAGTTTATGACTGGTAACATGCACTATTTTTTTTTTTGCAATTACATGTTTTGTATTTATTAACTGATCCACGAGCCTTGTTGATGCATTAGATTGTTGTAGCTCAATTTAGACAGAATACCTCTTTTCTTTATTCTTGGCACATAGGAGATATGTTTGGTATCCTCCCCATTGCTTGTTTGGTTATCTATTTGACTTCGTGAAGTATCTTGAGAGAAATTTTATGGCATTAGAAAAGCTTGAAATTTGTAAACTATCTTTTTAGAATTGACCACTGTACCTTTACTCTCGTTTTTTGGTATTACAATAATGCTTTGCTGGGTTTTGGCTGAATGTGCTTAGTCATATTGATTGCTTGATAACCAATATTTTAGTATGATTTTGTAGTATTTATGTATTTTTATCATTGCTGCAGGTTGCATTACTACCAAGGAGCTGGGGACTGTGATGCGATCACTTGGGCAGAACCCCACTGAGGCGGAACTCCAAGATATGATCAATGAAGTTGATGCTGATGGAAACGGGACCATTGATTTTCCTGAATTCCTTAACCTGATGGCTAGGAAGATGAAAGATACTGACTCAGAGGAGGAGCTTAAAGAGGCGTTCAGGGTATTTGACAAGGATCAGAATGGTTTCATATCGGCTGCTGAGCTTCGTCATGTCATGACAAACCTTGGTGAGAAGCTTACCGACGAGGAAGTTGATGAGATGATCCGTGAAGCAGATGTTGATGGTGATGGACAGATCAACTACGAGGAGTTCGTCAAAGTGATGATGGCCAAGTAAACCAGGATCAAAAGGTGGGAGGGTGGATGGAACAGGGCAGATAAGTTTGCTAAGATTTCTATTTATGAATAGGACATCTATGTTATTAGCTTTTGTTGGATGGTTTTCTATATCATGGTGGCATTATTTTGTGGACCGGACCTTAGTATTCTGCTTGTTTGCTCTGTTTTTTGTTCAATAGTGCTGTGTTAGCGTCAATATTTTTATGCTGCTTTTATTCGAATTCTTGGTGCCGTGAACCTGGAACAATCTGGAAGATTCAATGTATTTTTGCTTTATTTTTTACTAAATTTTGGATGGTTTTAACTGAGTATTGGTTCGGCGAAATAATTTTAGTTCTCAATAAGTGTGTACAACTAACCGTACAACGCTTCCCGAGTTTGTATTACGAATTCATATATTCTAGCAGACGCTGGTGAGAATACCGTTTCCTTGCCTACTTTATCAACCAACTGAAATATAGGTGGCTCTACCAAGTTCTAACAATACAATGCTGTTTAAAGTTCAATGGTAATACAAATTAGAAGAAATAAAAATCTTTGACCATAAATAAAGTCAGAGAGTAAATGTATAATCTTAAAAAATTGAAATTCAAGTTTAAAGACTCTTGTCATTAAGGTGCATCGGTCACTAAGTCAAGATTAACGTCATCTCGGAAACATGCAAGAAACTAAATATCTAAATATCCATTAAATCGTCAGATCGAATCATTTCAGGCTAAACGAGTCATTAAGAATCTAATAAATATAAGTCGATTTTTTTTTATTTGAGAAGTCGAGTCACTATAACCTTAAGACAACAAGTCACTCGGGGTTCAATAATATGTTCTCGGTTCATACAGATTCCTTCATGAAGAAGCCATCGGATGGACAGTTAACAAAATTATAGAAGTCAAAATATTTACGAACTTTTTTAATAGTCTATGAGTGATTACAAAATAATATATATTTAGAATTTTTTTACCATTAACAAAATATATATATATATATATATATATCTTGGAGACATAGTTATTTGAACTCAAAATTTTTAGAGAAGAACAATACTTCAAGTATTGAGATCACTTAATAAATCTAACAATGTTCATGAAATAAATTATAATCACTCAAACAATAATTATATATAAGAAACAAACCATAGGTTGAGTGATATGCTTAATGGTATCCAAAACAATAATAATAAAATTAATAACAATATCGTATGATTATTCACAATATAAAAATGAACATATTCATTTTATCAATATTCCATGACAATATACAACACTTGTATAAGTTTTACTAATCAATATTTATTAACATGTATATATATATATATATATATATATATATTCACTTTAAAAAATATTTTTAAATCTCACTGCATCAAATTTCTTTTTTGTTATAATGAAAAAAAGTCTAATTATCAAGTTATTAGGAATAGAAAAAAATTAAAGACGCTGTTACTCATGCATAGAAAAGATGGTTCAAGCTTCTCACCTTTATTACAATGAAAACCATCTTGGTTTCCTAATTTGAAAAAAATAATGGATGGATGGATCCACTCGGTTTTCATATAAGTTCAAGTGTACCAAATAATTTCCTTATATATGATTTAAAATTAATAAAACATCTAGATGAAAGATCAACTTATATTAGCATAAAATTGAAGTTCTTTTACACATTTTAATATTTTTTTTGAGATTAATATTTTTATAATTAAAAGAAAAATCCCCTTATACTAATGTAAAATTAAATTTGATTTACACATTTTGATAAGTTTAACTATTAGAATGTGAGAATATTAATCATACAAAAGAAATATATTAAAACAATCGTAAAAATAGAGTTATTTCACACATTTTGATAAGTTTAACTATTAGAATGTGAAAATATTAATCATACAAAAATGTGTAAAATAATTCTATTTTTACGATAATTTTAATATATTTCTTTTGTAAAAAAATATTAGATTTAATTGTTAATATTAATTAAAAGAATGGATTGATAGAATTTTAAAGGGTAAAGTATACAAATGATCATCTGACTATAGTGTATTATTTTGTTAAGTCTCTCGACTATTAAAGTTATAAAATGACCCCCTCAACCATAGGGTGATGTTTTGTTGAGTCTCTTGATTATTAAAAGTTACAAAATGGTCACCCAACTATTTTTTATTAATCTGGGGTAAATAAAAGGCAATTGTAAACACCAGTTTTGTCCGAGTAAAAAAAAGTCACCACTGAACGTTCCAGCGCTGTCAAGCATTCTGGAAGCCGCCATCGTCATCATTTTCATCACCAGCAGCCGAATATCACCAAAGTCAAAAGGAGAAGAATATCACCAAAGTCAAAAGGAGAAGAAGAAAAAACATTTTAAACCCCATAAAACCCAGGATTTTACCTACTCCAAAGAAATTATCACATGCAACAACCATTATAAAAGGAGGAGGGATTCAGACTTGAAGAAGGGGAGAAGCCGAAACAAAAAGAGAGAGGAGAGACTTACCACGACCGTCGGAGGCTTCAAACATCGCCGGAGAAGTAGAAACATCGAAGGTACAAATTTAGATCTACGTCGATCTAGGGGTTTTTAGAAATAAAGGTTGTCGGATTCGGCTTTAGGGTGGTAAGAGCTTCGATTTGATGTATTTTTATATTTTTCGGCAACCGTGAATAGTGAGCGATGGTGGTGAATAGTGACCGGCAGTAACCGGCGACGACGACACACAGTGGCCGGCTGTTGACCGGTTTCCCTCCGGTGAGGGAAAGTTAGAGAAAAGGCAGAGAGAAATTTAAACTCTCTCCCTTAGAGAGAGAAAGAAAATGAAAAATGAATAAGTTTAGGCATAAATGGTGGGGTTAAAGGCTATAAATACCCTCTCAAAACTACGTTGTTTTGGGGAGGGATCTCTGTGTAATTTCAAGAGTGGATAAATCCCTTTCGTAAACCTCTGCTTTTGTAATTTTTATATTTTCAGTATTTTAATTTGGTTTCGAATTTTATTATGTTTACATTTTAGTCACTAATTTACATTTTTTCGAATCTGGTCTAATAATTTATACATGTTTTATTTTGGTCACTAATGTAAATTATTTTTCTTTTATTTTAGTATTTTAATTGTGAAATAATTTTATTTTAATCAGTCTTTTATTTGATATTTTGAAATGTTTATTATTATTTCTTAAATTTATTTTTTATAAATTAATATTTTATTATTTTTTATATTAACATTTTCTTAACTTTTATTTTTATTTTTATTTTTTAGTGACGTTATTTTACCTTATTATTATTATTATTTTTAATTTAACATCTTAAAATTATTTCTTTTTGTTTAGCATTTAATATTTTATTTTACCATCTAATATTTTTATTTTTATTTTTCAGTAGTGTTATTTTACCTTATTATTATTATTATTTTTAATTTAACATCTTAAAATTATTTCTTTTTGTTTAGCATTTAATATTTTATTTTACCATCTAATATTTTGTTTATTTTTTCAGTAGTAATTTCAATCGATAAAAGGTAAGTAATTCGATTGAATTTTTAAATTTCAATTTAAATTTGAACTTTCGCAATTAAGACAACCGACAAATTAAATGATACTGAAAGGGCAGTTCAAGGGTGTTAATCCTTCCTTGACTGTAACCGACTCCGGAACTCGTTTTAATCGAATCTTTGCAAACACATACCAGTTTTTCGTCTTAAAAATAATTTTTCTTAAAATTATTTTTAAAAGATGTTTTTAGGTATTCTACCTACCTAACCCAAAGGTCGACGACGACTCTTTTTCAATTCTATCCAATTTAATTTCAAAATCCCTAATTTTTCAAAATTAAAGTCGTGACTGTTTTTTAAAACAATAAATAATTGTTCCACCCCAAAAACGGTTATGACAATAATATTTGTTCAAAGATAACTCTCAACCATTAAACATTGAACGCTCACACCCCTGACATTCATAGTGCTTGAACCTGAGGCCTCAAGGAATAACAATAATTCATTTACCAGCAAGGTCAATTGGTTCGTGTCATCTGACTATTCATATGTTCTAAATGTGTCATTTTCCATTAAAAAATAATATTTGTCTAAGTTGAAAGTTAATCTACCGATTGAGATATGATAAAGTCATATTTTAATGATGTCTATTGGCACCATCATTGCTTTTAAGCACTGGCTCGTCAGTATAATGTTTGAAGCACTTGCTCGATGACATAATATAAACAGAGAATCGATCCACAAAATACAACTCAAACGGTTATAGGATCAGATTTTATAATATCTCAATTAACATGTTTATATTTAGCTCAGATGATCATCAATTTTCTAACAAAAAAGGGCGAGTTTGGAACATATGAATAGTCGAGTGACTATTTTGTGACTTTTAATAATCGGAGGACTCAACAAATTAGTGCTCTATAGTTAAAGGATCATTTTATAACTTTTAATAGTCTTAGACTCAACAAATTAATACCCTATAACCAGAGGACCATTTGTGTACTTTACCCAATTTTAAAATATTAAAATTTATTTAAATAAATTTTGTTTTCAATATTTAATTAATGTTTTGGGTAAAGTATAGTAATGGTCACTGAAATTTTCTAAAGCTTTCATTTAGGTTCCCCAACTTTTAAAACTTATAATATAATCCCCCAACATTTAGTCTGTTTGTGATATAGTCCCTCAACATTTAGTCCGTTTATAATATGGTCCCCGACGTAACTATTAGGGGACCATATTGCAAACAGACTAAATGTTTGGGGACTGTATTGCAAGTTTTAATAGTTAAGAGACCTAACTGAAAGCTTTAGAAAAGTTCAGTGACCATTACTATACTTTACCTATATTTTTATTAGTAACAGACTATCAGTCTTTTGGTTTTCGAAGTCTATATATTTGTCGTCCAATCGAATTATTGAAAGTTTTATTTTATTTTTATTTTTATGTCATTGTTTTTTAGGGGTTTAAATCAAAAATATTATTTTGATAAATTTTAATTTATTTCAATTTTTTATTAAAATAATAAATTTTTTGCATCCAATTACAGATAGTTCTATTGTACAACGATAATCTAAGATTAATTTGTGAAGCATTTTAACTTAAAATATTATCATATTTAATCTAAAAAATTATACAATTGGTAATAATTTTGATTACAACAAAGAATGTTACATTAGGCTTTTTAACCTAAAATGTTACTTATCTACTCTAAAAAGTTATACAATTGATAATAATTTTCGTTACAACCAAAAATGTCTTGACAGTAACTTTTTAAGTTGTAACTGAAATAATTATTC